GGGAGATTATATTGAAACTGGTTTCAACAGAAAAATGAGGTGTTCAACAATTTTACCAAAATTATATCTTTCTTGTCTTTAAAATCAGTTTTAAATTCATTAAAAGTTTTAAATTGATATCACAACTTGACAAAAGATGATAGTTTTTCCTCATTCACTGCCATTCCTAGTTTCTCGGATCAAAGGTCAACCTGGAAGAGACATGACTTAAGCATTCTATTATATAAATGTGTGAATTGTATTGTATAAGTGTGTGGGCAATGGTGGCACAGGAGTTAAGTGCTCGCCCCGTAATCAGAAGGTTGCAGGTTCGAGCCCTGTTCAGTCTGTCGCTGTCGTTGTGTACTTGGGCAAGACACTTAACCCACCTTGCCTGCTGGTAGTGGTCGGAGGGACGGGTGGTGCCAGTGCTCGGCAGCCTCGCCTCTGTCAGTGCACCCCAGGGCAGCTGTGGCTACATCGTAGCTCATCCCCACCAGTGTGTGAATGTGTGTGAATGGGTGAATGACTGATTGCGGTGTAAAGTGCATTGGGGGGCTCCAGGACTCTAGAAGGTGCTATATCAAATACAGGCCAAATATGGGCCATTTAGTCTGTTAAAGGTCAACTTTACTCATGTTTTTAATACATTTCCATTGGTCTCCAGTGGTCTTGACCAACAGCAACGCAACTTTACTTCTTTGCTCTGCAATGTTGATGTTTTGTCTTTACAAATAACACAAACCTGAAGAAGTTCTGCCATGTTGTGGAGTTACTACTTACTTAACAGTTAGCTTCTAGTAGTTGAGACATTCTCTGCACTTTCCTGTACGAGGCTTTCACATCTGGGTCAGCCCAGCACAGCCCTTGTAGTTTATTAGTGCAAACAATTGGTTAATCTGAGCGTTTACTGTGCTCAGCTGACCGTTTTTTGTGTTTTGGATCAGCAAGTCATGCGAAGCTGACCCAACACATGCTACTGACTGGCTGGCTGGCCGATGCTTTTTGAGGGAACCTTGAATTGGAGGGCAGAATCAGCTGGCCTGACCTGCCAGACTGCTACTCTGTTTAATGATAAATGACCCACACTTGTATAGCGCCTCTAAGAGTAAGGACTCCAAAGCGCTTTACACTACAGTTTATCATTCACCCATTCACACACTGATGGTGATGAGCTACAATGTAGCCACAGCTGCCCTGGGGCGCACTGACAGAGGCGAGGCTGCCGAGCACAGGACCACCACCAGCAGGCAAGATGAGTTAAGTGTCTTGCCCAAGGACACAACAGCAGAATTCTCTGTCCGGAGCCAAGATCAAACGTGCAACCTTCCGATTACTGGACAACCCTCTCAACCTGTTGAGCTACTGCTGACCCAGCAGTAGCACCAGACCCTCTCTCTGCACACAGAAAGGGTTTGGGAACTCTCCTATTCAAATAGCCCCACCCCCTGAGGATTCTAACCGAGCCAATCAGCACTGAGTAGCTTACGTCACACACCATAACACTGAGTTTGTCGAACATGGCAACTGAAATTTTACTTTTTGTTTTTAAATCCCTTCATGGCCTGGCCCCATTTTAAATCTCTGAGCTGCTGTCCGCTTACGTCCCTGCCAGAACCATGAGGTCCAGCTCTCAAGCTCTTTTAACAGTTCCAAAAACCCGCCACAAGACACGCTGCGACAGCTTTCCCTGTGGTTAGGCCCAAACTGTGGAACAAGCTGCCACTCAACATCAGGACCACACAGAATCTAGAGCATTTTAAATCCTTTCTTAAGACACATTTTTTTTTATTTGGCTTTTACTGCAGGTTGACTTGAGCATTAATAGTTGTTAAAAGTTTTTATTATAGATTGTGACTGTTGTGTGCTCATCTTATTTTAGGTTTTTATTGTTGATCTGTTGTACCTTGATTTGTTTTACCTTGTACAGCGCTTTGGGTGCAGCTTTGCTGCTGTAAATGCGCTCTATAAATAAAATTGACCTTGAACTGAAGCACAGTTTGCTGAGGCTCTTCCCTTTGTTCTAAATGACTTGGACACGTCTTTAAAACAACAAGTAGAAGCGCAAATATCTTTCTTCTAATGAAAGATGTTTGTGCTGTCGCCAGATGCCATTTTTGACTACAGCTTAAAAAACTACAGCGTTGTGGACGTCACACACAGCGACGCTCAGTTTCTCATAAACAACAACGACAGCGACGGAGTTCACTGCGGCTCTTTCCTCATTTCTAAATTACTTGAATGTCTTTAAAACCACAACAAGTAGAAGTGCTAAAAGCCATTCTTCTAAAAAAAATGAAATGTTTGCACTGTTTTGAGATGCCTTTTTTTTTTACTACAGCTAAAAAAACTAAAGCGTTGCACGGTACAATCGGCTTTTCCATCTTTTTTCTGATTGGATATTTTTGAGCTGGCTAGTCCCGCCCCTCAAGTGCCTTTCTGCCTGTGAGTTACCAGACTCTTTCTCTGTGCAGAATTAAACAGAGGACGAGTCTGGCAGGCCAGGCTAAGAATAAAGCTTGGTTTATGCTTGACGCATTCACTTTCCGCGCGGTGATGTGGCTCGCGGATGGAACGCGCTTCACAACTCGCAGCGTTTATGGTTTGTGCGGCTCGTCTCTGCGGTGAGCCAATATTCTCCCAAACTGAACGGGGCAGCATGGAGCTCTACGGCATGCATCCAACACTACACCATAGTAGAAGTAGAAATGACTGTTTACAACATGACATTTCAGCATTTTTAACAGCGTCCTCGTCTTTTCCGACAGTGCGAGCTATTTCTCTCCAAGAATTATTAACAACATGTTGATCACGGTGATCTCTGAGAGCTGAATCATACAAATGTCTGTATTTACAAACCTCTGCCATACTAGTTCTTGCCGGTCCGCCATGTTTTTCCGCGTCCGTCTGTCCGCGTGGTTAGAAATTTTCCGAGGTGCGCGTTGCGGAAATTCTGGGCCATGCGGAGACGCGGTGGAGGGGCGTGGTTGTTAAAATGACGCAACTTTTCCGTGCGGACCTCGCGGACGCGTCAAGCATAAACCAACCTTAAGCCACCAGTGGCTTCCCGCATTATCAGTCTGGATGCAGTGGAGTAAACATCTTCTTTGACTGCAGCTCGGACCTCAGACATGAAAACTGATCAAGGGTGAAGAAGGTGGGAGAGTTGGTCTGGGGGTCTCCCACAGAAACATTTTAGTGAGCAGATGTTATTTGCCACATTCTAGTGCTTTTAACAGGTTTTTTGATTATATTTAAATGATTGTTTTTAAATTAACAACTTATTTTGTTTGGACCCAAAGGAAATGTGACAAAGAACGAATCAGGCCCAGCTGCTGAAAACACTAAAACCAGAAAGAATCCTAAACTTCTAAGGCGTTTATTTTATATTTGTGATAATATAAACAACAACACCAGCAGGAGGCAGTGGGCTGGATCAGGGTTTAATGAAAGCTATTTCCCCTTCACTAACCAGCTAACTGACCCTTCCTTTGGGGACATTTTGACTTTTATCATCTCCTTCTATCCATCGTGTCTCTGAGAGGAAACAAGCAAACAAGAAGAAAACATCCAACTCAAAGGTAGACTAAAGTTTTCTCCCAGTTTTAAAGTTGAATTTAACATAAACCCAGGTCACCCTGGTTCATGAAACAATACATTTCTACAGGCTGACAGCTAAACTATATTATAATTTCTCTTTGACTGTTCTGAGTTCCTCCCAGTCCCCCCGCCCCCACCAGCAGTAGCGCAGTGGAGCCAAACCAAACCCAAAGACTGAAACCAAAATGACCCGAGGGCTTTAAGCCCAAAACCGGATCGCCAGGGACATCATAGTCTACATTTTAGCGTTTGTTTACCACCATGGATCTCTCTGCTGTCCTAGCGCGACTCATCGTGTTCAAATTACATTAATCGACCCAAGTCTGATCCAACCCATCTGTACTCCGTTCAGGCTCGGATCGTACAAGCAGGAAGGAGCCATCATCTGTAGGTCTTATTTGCAGCGAACATGTTTTTACCGGGTAAGATTAACGTTCAGTTATTTCACAAGGAAGACAGGGACAGGGATAAATGTGATGTGCTTATACTAGTTATTGATAATCCTGATGGATGGGTATTTCACCACGGATGATGCGCGGCGTCCACTGTAGAATAAAGCGAGATAATTATTAACAATATTAAAGCTCTGATGTATGATTATGTGTGTTAAAATTGCGTTATTTATTTATTTATATGAGCGTCGCCAATCAGAGATCTTCTCATTCCGGTGTGAGAGCAGCAGCTGAACCTGGTAATACCACCAGCAACAGAAGCTAGTAGGGATCTGGACTTTTTAAAAATCAGCTTTGGTGTAAAGTGAAACGCTGCTTACAACATAAAGTTATAAATCCAGCGGGGTGAATTTAGGCAAAGTCAGTAACATGTTTACATCGGTGAACAGCTGCAGAGAGAACGTAAGCTAACGTTGGTAAGCCCCGGCTAGATAGGCTACTTCTTCTGATAACTGAACTGGGCATGAACTAGTTGAAGGCATGCTGGAGGAGTTTTGTTTTTGTTTTGATCGCAAAAACAATTTCAGGCTCTACTTTCCCCTTTGTTTAGTAATTGTGTAGCTTACTGTTTACATGCTTTTACCATCCAGCATGGTGGACCCACGTGATTAGGTGACTCGGAGCAAAGGGTCAATTCTTCAAAGTCCCCCAATTGGGGGACTTTACAGCCTAAAGGGTTGAGTTGGGGGGTGGAAAGGTCTGGTGGGCCGGATGTGGCCCGCAGGCTGCCATTGAGTTCCATTGCCATAAAGGAATGTGTTAAATGAATTGTAGCAGAAGGAAGATGGAGTTGATTTCTGCTTACAGGAGCCAACGTTTTTGGTTTCTTGTGTTGGTGCACACTGAAGTAGGTCTGCAGAGCCACAGGCCATCTAATGAGGCATACTGGTTTAATAATGTGGAGGTATTTATTGTTTTCTCTCTCTCTCTCTCTCTCTCTCACTCTCACTCACTCACACACACACACACCTGGATCCATGCTGTCCAGATCCATATGGGGAAGTACACAAGACGGATCCGTCACAGCTGATCGATGACCCTTAGGTGTATTTATCCAGCTGCAACAGAAACAAAGAAAGAGATCTGATTAAGATGCTACTTCTGAAGAACGCGAGTGTTTAAAGATCCTATGGTTTGGCTCTAATCAGCCACGGAGACGAGATAACCGGTGCTTTCCGTCCTGCTTCGGAGTCGAATGGATCAGAGACCGAGCAGCGATCCTGCATTATGACCAAATAAAACGACCAAGTCTGATAAATCTGTTCACAAAAATAACGCGTTTCTCAATGGAACAGCAGCAGATCCAGAAGTCTGTAAAAGGTTTTCTGACCTTGTTTTGGAGCTCCGATTTTCTCTGGTTCTGGGAGAACTGGGACCACGTTGTTGAGAAGCAGAACACTGTTTCCAAAGCTTGGTGAGGATTTTTCCACAGCAGCAGTTAGACGCTTTTTCTAATACTCTCCCAGAGAATGACCTAAAGAAATGTTTACTCCAGAGCCTCAAAGATAGTCACCTCACACCAAAACAACAAGCTAGCTTAGCTAAAAGCTTCCGATTTCTTCTTCTTCTATAAGCATGCTGGACGCCTCTAAAAGGCGTGTCGCTGCCTTAGCTGCTTCAGCACAACACACGCCTAGATGGAGAGTAACAACCTGTCAGCCACACCTGTGTTGATAACGCAACAAATCACCTGATAGATCATACCTAGGCCCGTCGGGCCAGCTTCCGTTTCCTCTTCTTCTGTTTAAGCTTTTCAGGCGCATTACTGCCACCTACTGGACAGGGCTGGAGGCTGGAAACGGCACGAACTACAAAAACATGTATCCCAAGGGTTCTAATCCAGGTCCTGAAGGGCTAGTCTCAAGTCTGTTTTAGTTGTTTCCCTGCTTCAGCACACCTGTGATTAACAGGCTTCTGCGGAGCCTGATTAACATGTGATTTAACCACTGAATCAAGTGCACTGGAGGGAGGAACAACAAAAACATGCTGGACCCTTCTGGACCGGTGTCATTACCAGATCTGCTCGGGCTGCCAGATCCATAGACTCAAAACTGAGGGTCATCAAATGCACAAGAACAGATTTGGCCTTCTGAACTGGACAGATAACACGGGTGTCCATGTGAGACACCTAAGGAACCAAGAGGACATAGAAGTTGTTGTGCAGGTGCACAACTGTCAAGGAGAAGTGTGATTATTCAATTCAATTCAATTCAAGTTTATTTATATAGCGCCAAATCACGACAAGAGTCGTCTCAAGGCACTTCACATAATGAACATTCCAATTCACAGTTCATTCAGTCAATCAGAAATAATGTTTCCTATATAAGGAACCCAGCAAATTGCATCAAGTCACTGACTAGTGTCAGTGACTATACAGCAATCCTCATACTAAGCAAGCATGCAGCGACAGTGGAGAGGAAAACTCCCTTTTAACAGGAAGAAACCTCCAGAGAATCCTGGCTCAGTATAAGCAGCCATCCTCCACGACTCACTGGGGATCGAGAAGACAGAGCAGGCAGACAAAGACACAGACACACACAGACACAGACACACACACACACACACGCACACACACACACACACACACACACACACACACACACACACACACACACACACACACACACACACACACACACACACACACACACACACACACACACGCACGCACACACACACACACACACACACAGACAGACAAGTAATGTGTCTATAGTTATATTGTGATGTCTTAGTAAATATTGTATTTGGTGAAAGATAAACTTTATTATATTTATCCTAGTGGATATATAATTAAACGGATAAACTAGTATTAGCACATCAAAAGTCAAAAACAAAAAGTTATTATCAGGAGAGAGAGAATGTATTAGTGGTTAGCAGCAGTGTGCTAGTCGATGGCCCCCTCCATGAGGCCACCACAGCTCAGCAGAACGTCATTGTAGATTCTTCTGGGGAGAAAAACACTTACAGAGAAAATAAAGTTAACAGCTGAAATTGCACAAAATAGTACAGTTAAAGAGCAGACTGTAGAATAAAGCAGTAGAGTGTGAAAAGTCGTCAGTGTGTCCTCCAGCAGTCTAAGCCTATAGCAGCATAACTACAGAGTTAACTCTGGATAATCTATCCTATTTAGATGTAGGCATGTTGGAGGCAGGGCAAGGGAGAGCCGTCTTTACCGACTGTACACTCCACCTCCCTGGACTCCCCCACTTGTCCAGATTTAGGCTAACATCAGATTTTAACTATAGGCCCTATCAAATAAAAATGTTTTAAGCCTATTCTTAAAAGTAGACAAAGTGTCTGCCTCACGGACTAAGGCTGGGAGCTGGTTCCACAGGAGAGGAGCCTGATAACTAAAAGATCTGCCTCCCATCCTAAGTTTAGATATTCTTGGAACCACCAGTAGACCTGCAGTCTGAGAGCGAAGTGCTCGATTAGGAACATATGGAACAATCAGATTACTGATGTATGATGGAGCTTGATTATTAAGAGCTTTATATGTGAGCAGAAGGATCTTAAAATCTATTCTGAATTTAACAGGTAGCCAATGTAGGGAAGCTAAGACAGGAGAGATATGATCTCTCTTTTTAATTCTCATCAGAACTCTAGCTGCAGCATTTTGGTCAAGCTGAAGACTTTTAACTACATTCTGTGGACTTGAGAGTAATGAATTACAGTAATCCAGTCTTGATGTAATAAATGCATGAACTAGTTTTTCAGCATCACTCCTGGAAAGTATGCTTCTAATCTTAGCAATATTCCGAAGGTGGAAAAAGGAAATCCGACAAACTTGTGAAACCTGGGATTTGAATGACATGTCCTGGTCAAAGATAACACCAAGGTTCCTTGCTTTGTTCTCAGAGATTAATGTAATGCCATTCAGGTCAGGCGATTGGCTAAGCAATTTCCTTTTCTGGATTTCTGGTCCAAAGATGAGAACTTCCGCCTTGTCTTGATTTAAAAGCAAGAAGTTAAGAGTCATCCAATTTTTTATGTCCTCAAGACAAGCAACAATGAAGATTTTTTTAACGTTGTCTCAAAGGCTCCCAGGCGATCCAACATGCTGCTGCTAAACTTCTGAAGAGACATAAAATTTTTTACATTTGAACATTTTTCTCCTTAGTGACAACTTTAGTTCCAGGACTCAGCCAGCAGGTGGCAGCATCTGATCACAACAGGCTGTCAAATGTCACAAAGGGTCCGACATAGAACTAAATGAATCTAGATTGCCTTTTAGAACACATTTATAAATCTGTGTTTTAATGTTAATGTATTAGAATGTTTCAGTCACAAATAAAAGTATTTTATCTGGACAGAGAACAAGTGTCTACTGTCTCAAGAAGTGTCTCTTTGTAGAAACTGGATTTTTCCCTCCTGAAACCCTAATCCCTCTGTTTCTGCTGGACTTCCTGTCAGCTTTTTTCTACCACTGACCCCCGTGCTGTTAGAAAGACAAAAAACATCTGATGGATGATAAAATGCTGTCTCGTTAGTTTTATATCTAAAGCTGCCTTCCACAACCACCGCTAATCACTGCAGCAGAAAATTCCACAAAATAAAAGAAAGTTGTTTGCTCTGTACCAAAGGAAAGGTGTGTAAGCTAATATCAGCTCCCTTTAGCATGAAGATCCAATTCCTGGTGCTCCATCTTCTACTACTTGGAGTCACCTTGTTCAAGATGTCTGAAAGAGCTCTTTGCCTCAGAAATGCTTCCTCTCTGAAAAGCGATCAGTTTAGCTCTAGTAAGTCTTCCTTTGAAAATCTAAAGTGACGTGGATGTCTCCTAATCCTTTTGGCCTTTGCTCAGACATCATCCAAGATCCCAGAGCAGCGAAGAAAAACTTTAATTCATCAAACAGCTTGAGTCTCACCAATATGTGAAGAAACTAAAGTAGTGAACCTTCCCAAAATCTTAAATTGTCCCAGTTACCTAAAAACTGTCCGCACACCTCCAAGCTACCCTAGAAATCTAGTCCAACTGTAGAAGCAGCAAAGATTTAGGTTGGGTTGTGACTCTATTGAAGCCTAGTAGGTCTACCACTGGCCCTAAAGTTTCTGTGTCATGCCAATCTCAGTACTCTATGTTTGATGGGCAGGCTTTGCGCCAGAACTGCGACTGAGGAAAAACTACAAAGATGGCGCCAGCTCAGAAAACACTTGAAACAGCTTTGATATCAACTTTGGACTACTTAAACTTGGGCGTTTGAGACATGAGCAGTACTTACTCATTTTGAATAAGGATGCATTTGCTTCTTCTGTATGGCGGACTGCCCTGTTGACAGATTTCCGTAGCGATGAATAAGTTATATTGTTCATTGCTCTGACTGGTCCTCCAAATGTGTGTGGAGCCAGTTTGAAAGACAACCTTAGCAGTGCTGTAGGTGGACTTGGCCACAATATTTAATGACACCAAGTTGGAGGTCTGATTAAATAATTTTTTCTAATTTCTATTTAAATATTGCGTCAAATACACTGTATGTTTCCTAATTGTCCATTCAGTTAAGTAAATTCACAATTTTCTTTTGTGAAAATCTACTGGCTCTTTCAGGTTTCAAGATTTGAAACTTGACATTTGAGGCATTTAAAATGTGTAAAAGTTATAAATAGTATAGGTTTGAAGTTATTTCTGTAAATGAGGTTCTGACCAGATAGATGAGCTAACAGCTAGTTCAAGTAAGGACACTGTCCCCTCAAAACAATTCGAATGTCAACAAAATCACTGTGGTTCATGTTTACACTATTTAACTAGCCTAAACGAGTTATGTGGTTATTAACATACAAGTATTTAATGCTTTTCCGCAGAATTAGCTGTGAAGCTAGCAAGTTATTTTTTTCTGCAGGAAAAGCTTTCAATAGTGATATTTGATAAATAGTTAATTGTTCATCTTTTTCATTTAATTTTTTTTGCGTTTTTCTGAAAGCAGATTTGAGTTTTGCTTTGAGTTTTCTTTTTCTCTAGAATCAGCTAGCTGTAGCCCTTCCTATGCATCCTGGATCACTTAAAACATACACAACTAAAATAACAACAACAACAACCTAAAAACAAACATTTAAAGATATTCCAAGCAACCTGTAACAGCTGACATACCCAAAAAGTCAACAGAACACACTCAAAACACTTGAATCATGCATATAGCAAATTGTGTTGCAAAGAAAATGTAACGCTCAAATATTTACAAAATAAAAGTACTCATAAGAATCATGAGAGATAGAAACAAGACATTCTTTATACAAAGACTATCATGTGTTATTTATCCCATAGGTCGATGAAACAGAAGCACTCTGAACTCCCATTTATTCTCAGGGGTTAGAGACGATCTAAACACACATTTCAATCTCTTCTACTTTCCTAGACACTTTATTTTTTAGCTGAATCTAAACAGACCACAGTCAGAAAATGATCATAAACCACCATTACACATTTAAAGGTAAACATCTATAAAAACGGTCTTCACACACAAATTGTTCTCAAGGAACTGAAAAAGTAAAATAAAAAAGTCATAAAATACTAATAGAAAACAAAATTCAATACCCTATAGGAAACCAAAGTAGAGATTTAATGAGAAAATTTAGAAGAACAATTTCAGCATCTGAGTTAAAACCAATAAGGAACAACACACATTTATCACCTTTTCTCATTTTATAATCTATGGAAAACTGTTTTTTTCTATTGGCTAAAATAAAAAAATCTCAATGTGATGTGAAACTATGAGCAAAGTTATACTGATCATTAGTCTAGTAGATCTCTTTCCCTACATCTAAA